TTCAGGTAGTGAAGATTTCTATTTTGTTTCTCCACTTATTTGGTAACATTTTTTTACCGTTTATTTTATATTTTTTGGTAGGGTTTACAGAAAATAAACTTTCAAGCCAGCGAATCTTTTAAAAATATAGCTATCGTTCAAGTCCTTTCATACACCAGAGCCACAGAATAAATAAAAGTAACTCACTTTATTTTGTGTTGTACTATCCTAATCATTTATTACTCTTCGTCCTACCCCAGGAGTATACCGAGCAATTATTTTGTTTCAAATACGCCAACCCCATACAAAGGACAGTTACTCTGCTATAGTATGTTGATAAAAAATACTGGTTTATACATAATTTTGATGTTGATAAATTTAAATAAAAATTGCATACCCTCCAGCTAAATGAATTAAACAATACCTGACTTTGTAGATCATCTTTTATTAATTATTGTAACTTACACCTTACAATTACTCATTAATAAACTAACACTGTTTAAACTCGAGGCAATAATTAATGATTCATTTCAAGTTTATGAATAAACTGCAAGATTAATATAGGTGTTCGTCTTTACTTTGGCGTGGTTTTATTTTTTTACCTATTAGGGGTGATGGTATTTTATGGGGAAGATCACAAAAGTCGCAATAACTTTTGAACCTAATTTTTTACAGCATTGGTAGTTGTAAATTTTTTTTGTAAAAATTTAAAATTTTTATCAAAATCTTTCAAGCCTTTTTTGTGAAACGTAAGCACCTTGGATTAGTACCCACATACCAAAAATGCATCCACCACTTCATATATCATGTATAGTGAAAGAAGAAATAAATAACAGCAATTACATCAAAGACATCGTCTCCCTACTTTTTAAAGTGCGCTCTTAAACTAATTTCTTTACCATGACGATTAATTATTGACGTTTCTACCATAACGTCAATCATACTTCCAATAAACACAAATGAACTCAAGTTCTTTAACCCTATTTTATTCACAAGAGGTATAGGAGAGACAAAACCAGAACCATGTTAGGAAGAAATAGTTTATAGCTTTATTATCTCAATTATTAAATAGTCCTATAATAGTGCAATAAAGACGTAACTATACAGCAGAAAGCACTTGTTTTCCTCCACTCTAGTAACCATGGAAATAATACATTTTGAGCATACTAACGATTTAGACACAGGGTACACTAATTTCAAACTGTCATTTCGTTGTCTTTTATGAGTAAACTGTACAAAATCAAAACATCTTTCAAAGATGTTTGGGTTTGGAGGTTTAGATCCGATTTGTACAAGTACCATGATATGTTTTAGAGCTGACAAACCATAAGGCGCACTTAAATGAATACTACAAGAATCTTTTGCAGCAGCGACATCCTACTGAGAAAATAACAACTCTGTCTTCATTGATTGTCCTTTTAAATACTCAATGTACAAGACTAGTTTTTTTTTGCATCCCTAAGTCGGATTTTTTTTACTATAATGAAATCTACTATATCGCCCAGATGAAAAATTGAGTTTACCGGTGGGAAATATATAATTTTTAAAGAATATTCCTTTTGAACGGTTTCTAAGAGTATTTTTTTTTTAAATGTAACAAATTATTACATTCTAAATAAGTATTATCGTTAATTAAATGAGGTAAATAGTACCCATATATACTTTTGTTGAGCAAAATTATTATGCTGGGCTGCATAATGACAAAAAAAATATCAAAAATTTTTTGAAATCAATGATGAAAGAGAACAATTAACCTTCACCAATGTAAGTTCAATTCTTTTCTGGTATTCCCATATCATACTGATGGGTAAAAATTTATAAAGTTGAAATATTTTGAGAAATTGTATATCCATCTACGGAATCTAATAGATTGAATTCAAGTCAAAGATATTTAAAAACCTACCAGATCTCAACCTTTAATCTTCTAAAACTTCTTTCACTAATCTATCGATCCTCTACTCCCATTCTATCAAATCTGCATTAAGATTTTTGCAGTATTTTTATTATACGCAAAAATCCTGTGCTAAACTTAACGAAGCTTTAATGAGATGATATTACTTAATTATAAAAAGAATCTATCTATAGTATACACTACCTTAGTTCAATGTAAAGTATATAACCTACACAAAAAACATAGTCTTGTTAAAAACAGGAAAACGCTTTAACATTAATTTATAGTCATTCTTACCTGCTTATAAATTAAATTGAAGAGCGAAAATTCTTAAAATAATCCAATAAGATGGATGTTCTATGTGAATTAATTGTAAATAGAATATGACACATTTTTCACCACCCTTATTAACCGAACTTTCTAATATGTTGATCTAATGTGTCACTAATCATTTTATAAATACTTTCATTTTAAATTTAAACTGGTTATAAAAACTATAAGTATTATTTAAATGCTAATAGCAATGATTCTTCTAAAATATTTCCAAGACCATTTTTTATTATTTATTACATATCTTGTTAACTAGCTTTAGTATAAAATTCCAAACGAATATGTTTAGATCTGTTGGTTTCATTGATAGTTTTACAATGTTTTTAAATTAAGTAGTATAATGCAATGACTGAGTTAACACTTAGTTTGGAGAGTATTTGATTTTTACTTAGACTGGATAGCCTATATAAAAACAGTGTAATTTTATAATAAATCAATTATTTCTAATTTTAGTTGGATTTTATAGTAGATTTTATATACAGATATAGGTTGATAAAAATTTACATCCATGATATTTTTTGCATCTTAGAAACGTAATATTTGAAGTTTAATACCAAAATGTGTTTTACTCAACATACTGTATATTAAAATCCATGTTTTAGCCCCTGAGCCGTATAATAACTAAAAATAGGCTTTACCTTCGTCACTGCAGCTCAAATTCTTGTGGTGTAACTATGTTACGGCCGTTTCGGCATTACAATGCCATCGTCAGACTACAAAAACACAAACTCGGCTGAAGTAGCGTCGTTGAAGTTTAAACACGTAACACATACGAACAATAATATACATTTAAAATATTTACAAAAACCGAACAGGCCTGTCGTACTAACGGGTGACATGTTCCCGTTCCGAGCAAAAACCGACTGGAAGATTTCTATGTCGAGCCCGGTGTGGTGGCGTTATCAGTTGAACTTTGTACTCCTGGCTTCTTGTTCCTCTTCTAATTTAAAATGCTATTGAGTATTGAATATGAAGTGTGACTTGTACTGTAGTTTGTCGTTTAAAATTATATCGTCCAAATTATTTTTGGTGTAAGCTTTGTAAATTTCATACTCTTCTAGGGTGTCCAGTCTATTGCCTTTCTTACTTGTGTGGAGTATTTCTAAGCCAGTGTTCAGATCGTTCATGTCGTGATTTTTGTCAACCAAGTGTTGTGCAAACGATGACTTTTGTTTGTCGGCTCTAGGAAATGGATGGTGCTCTTTGTATCTGGTTTTGAATGAACGTCCAGTCTTTCCTATGTAGTAGCTCGGGCAACTTGCACAATTAATCTTATACACACCTGACTTTTCACCTTTATCAATTACGCCACTTGAAACAAAAGTCATCGTTTGCACAACACTTGGTTGACAAAAATCACGACATGAACGATCTGAACACTGGCTTAGAAATACTCCACACAAGTAAGAAAGGCAATAGACTGGACACCCTAGAAGAGTATGAAATTTACAAAGCTTACACCGAAAATAATTTGGACGATATAATTTTAAACGACAAACTACAGTACAAGTCACACTTCATATTCAATACTCAATAGCATTTTAAATTAGAAAAGGAACAAGAAGCCAGGAGTACAAAGTTCAACTGATAACGCCACCACACCGGGCTCGACATAGAAATCTTCCAGTCGGTTTTTGCTCGGAACGGGAACATGTCACCCGTTAGTACGACAGGCCTGTTCGGTTTTTGTAAATATTTTAAATGTATATTATTGTTCGTATGTGTTACGTGTTTAAACTTCAACGACGATACTTCAGCCGAGTTTGTGTTTTTGTAGTCTGACGATGGCATTGTAATGCTGAAACGGCCGTAACATAGTTACACCACAAGAATTTGAGCTGCAGTGACGAAGGTAAAGCCTATTTTTAGATACTGTATATCTAATTTATACAAAATTGTCTAACACATGATTGAAACATAACCACCACAAAATATACGGAAAATCCATAACTTGAGGATAATTTTGATTAACTTGAGGAACTATTTGAATTAGCTTCAAACGGGGAGTTTGCTTAATTTATGTCAGAGAATATGCAATCTAGTGTTCTACTGAAATCTTTTAGCCATACTTAACAATAAAATTTCTTTTTCTTTTTCGTCCTTGGACGTTAGGCACGAGCCCAGAATTGTTTTCCACATTACTTCAGGCTGGGCTACTAGTTGCGGCATTATCACTTAGATAAAATCCATTGGTGACTTGGTGGGATTTGAACCCGGGACCTCAGGGACTGAAGTCCCGCGCTCTAACCACTACACCAGCTCGCTCCCCGCTTAACAAAACAGTAACAAATAATGAATTACAAATGGTCACTACACTTATTACTCTTAATTAATTAGCAAGTATCTTAGTTTCATTAAGAGAGTATTGATCGATTCATTTGAAATCAATGTACTCTGTATCCTAAGAAAAATTACAAACTTTAGCTTTTATCTTACTTCTAGCAAACTTAGAATTGATAATTTACATATACAGAATGTCTCAAAAGTACCAACCTGTTATTTACTTTTTTGATATAAATCCCTCTGTATCATAAATTTACATTTTACCGTTTTACACATAGAGAAATATCATAATTTCTTTTAATAGACAGGTCTTATAACTTTTTTATCAATAAATATTCATAAATTTTGTAAAAATAGATGAAGTTGTGTGAGAAGTTGAAAATTTTAAATTTACTGAATTTTTAGTTAATGGAAGGAAACAAGAATTAGTTCCATCAAAAGTTGTATAAATGGTAATTATAATTTATAGCAACAATTTTAGAACTTAATCTGGAAGCTGTTGCTGTTTAGTCAAAACTTATATAAAAATATGTTGATTAATAAACACAATTAATTTACGTAAGTACCAATTCAACTAAAGATTGTGCAATTTAATTTTGGTATTGCAATGCTTACGGAATTACTTTCTTAGTAAAAAATTAGGTTCTTAGTCTTTCAAGTAGTCAAATTACTCATTTTTAATCAAACTAATGTCTTTTAATTCAAACATTTTTAAAACCTCTTACATTTTTAATAAACAGTCTGGTACTTTAGGAACAAATTGTATTTCATTACACCTCAAAACTCCCAAGAATGTTCACTTCATGTAAATCATGAATTTCCTAACCACTATAAAACACTTACATTATATTATAATTTGTATTTATAAATATTTACAATATACTTTTAACAAAAACGGCTACAAAATTAACCCTACAAATAAATGGAATGCTAATTGCAACAAGATAATGTTGCATATCTCAATGGACCTTGCAACTCACAATTCCTTCACTAGTACAACTTCTTAATACTATGACGGCTTTCTTGGTGTGCTGTTAAAAAAAGGAAGAAAAGTAGACTCATTGATTATGTCTTGCAAACATTTCTTATAAAAGCCGTAGAAAAAATGTCTAGAACATTAATACCAAGTCAGCCTTGATAAAAAGTGTTATTTTCAAATACCTTTGATTTCGTGTTAAGTACTCCAAAGCACTTGTTATTGCTAACCTCGATAAGAAGTCGCAAGTCTTTTTCAATAATCCCCTTGCGAGACTTGTTATTGAGGTTCTAATGTATTCAGCAACAAAAATTGATTTAACCGACTCAAAATTTTAACTGAAATATAGTTTATTTATTTGAGTAAAAGCTTTGCTAAATAATAAGAGAATGTTTCATCAATTAACGAGAACAAAAGTCTATTTGAATGAATTTTATCTAGAAAAATCTAACACAAGTAGTAAATTATGTAAAAATCTTTTACATGTTTACAACACAACTATACATTATTTATACTTCAGTTATATACACAACAATTAAATAACAGTTATATATCCCGAACAAGGTATTTCACAAATGAAACGGTAACTTTAACAGCACATCAACTACAGGGGATTCTCGACACTTAACCATACTGGACCTCATACCATATTGCTATCGAAATCGTTAATAGTTCTACCTTAAATTTGTACAATTTTGACTAGAATAGTAAAGAAGCTAAAATAGGTGAAGTCGCACAATACGTGAATTGCTCCCATAGTTTCAGAGACTTACGTAGTCGTAAGCTGTCTTTACCTTTGCAGGTGGTATTTTATGCTGAGGCACAAAACGATCGTAAGCAAGTCAAAGCTTTGTGATAATGGAATGCATTTTGTATAAAACACTTCATGAAAAAAATCTAAAATTTTCAACCCCCTAGCCAAGTAACATACCAATATTGTCTCAATGTTGTTCTCAATATTGAAAATGTTTCATTATTGTCCCAATATTGATCAATATGATAACAATATTGTTACTTTTTTCCACAACATATTTCAATGTTGTTGCAAAAAAATTGTTGATCAATATTGGGAAAATAGTGTTGTAATTTTAAAACAATATTAAATATAAAATGGTTTAAGTTACCTTTTGCGTCTAACGATCCTTGATGTAGTAAGTGATAACTACAGTTGTTTCATACCGCCCAGCGGCATGAAACTGCTGTAGTTAGCGTTACTACATCAAGGATCGTTTGACACAAAAGGGAACGTAAACCTTTTTATATTGCAATTTTCAATCCAGAGGCTAACCCATCATGAAAAAAAAACAATATTTTTGGCAATGTCAATCAACATTGTTTCAATATTTTAACAATATTGTGGTGCTACTTGGGACGCAGACAAGATAGGTTTTGCTAGGTTGATTTATTTAGTTTAATGTAGTCACTGGCTATTTTCTCCAATACATTTATTATTGCTTTTGAACATCAATTCAGTTATTGTCAAAGCGTAGACATTTTTAACATGTAGTAGCAGTTATTAACTTTATCAATTTTAACCATTTAAACAAATAACAAAAAAGGTACTAGAAATTAAAAAAAAAGATTATCTTGATTTGTATATCCATGAAGGGCATCATGAAACATAAATCGTTTAATAGCTCAAAAATCTTAAATTTTTACTATAAGATTACCTCAAATTAGTATTTTTTTTTTTTACATTTTGTATTTTAAGATGTTAGCCTATAAGTATTTGTATAAAATTGTTTTATTTTATTATCATTTTAATGTCAACAAAATTATCGGGCAATTGGATTTTTAAATTGTTTGCTCCTTGGATTGTTATCAGCCACTCTGTTTAATTTAGTTTTAAGAGTTTATTTTATATCCCAACTTAATTAAAGTTAGCAATTTATAAATACCTTTTAAGGTACTGACCAAAACCATGCCTCGAAATAAGAAACAAGAATTTATATGAAAAATATTCGCTATTTTTAGAACTGGAAACTGTTTGGATCTAACCAGAGTGTGATGTATTCTAGTGTTATAAAAATCTTTTATGGTTAGAACTTAGTCAATGCTATAGTAATACTTTTTTTTACTACCCCTATACAAAACTAATTGAATACAAATTTGTTCAAGCTAGAATAAAGTATTAGTACGTTATTAAATAATTCATTACTCTTAAGTAATCATTTCTGAGATGTTGAAGTAGTACAAAAAGCTTAAATGGAAGCAAATAAATAAAATTATAAACATTCATCAAACTGATCCTAAGCATGAACTCACAAATTCTGTTCCTGAATTCACAAGCATATTGTCCAAATAATTAATTAAGTATTCTAACAATGGCTTTTCTACTTTTACTTCTCCTGAAAGAATGAAAATTGACTCTTAATTTATTTCTATATTATAGGCAATTGTTGGAGTTTAAATTCCAAATATGGATCTTGTGAATTATTACAAAAAAGAGCACGTGTTAAAACACCATGTAATTTTGAAGGCGAAACTTTAAAACACAGGTTAGAGTAACAATTAGGTTCATTATAAATATTTTAAACGGTAATAATGTTAAATTATATAGTAAAATAAAAAAAAAAAACTTCTTTATGTTTATAGCAAATTGTTTTCCTCCATTAACTAATTCACAAATAGCCTAAAAGAATTAGTAGATCTAAGGGTAACAAAATGTACGGCCGAAGAAAATGTTCATGATTTTGTCTCGATCAAGGCTGGCAATGAAGCTGTTTCTGTAACTGCTTAGAGATGTTGAGAATTGGTTGACGATCGCGGAAGAAAGTGATTATGCACCCCACCCCACTACCCAAACGAATTATTACAAAAAAAATTTAAATAACGGTATATAATCAAGTTTTTAGGTATCAGTATCAATATAAAAAATAAAAAAATAAAATGTTGGTATCGACAAATATATTTAGTTATGAGGTAACAATGATACAGCGTTTGAAACGTATTTATCTTGTAAAGCAGAGAGCTGAACAATGGCATGTCATGATCACATGGTGTTTTACAAGTGAAAAACTAAAAGTGACCTTTGTGATCATATTAAAGCTAATGCTATAGAAACTCTCTGGGTCTCCTTGGATAAGGCCTCTTAACAGTTTCTTCATCGATTCTACCAGGAGCAGAGTGGGAGGTGGGGGGAGGCTGCGGTGGAGGGGAGGAGGGCGCCGGGTCACCCTCCGGGTCAGAAGTCCTGGTCACAGGTGCGGCAGGGGCAGCCGCTTTTGTCCTCGATTTTGACCGTCTTTTCCGCAAAATAACACTCCCGGTTTCACCAGAACTTTGTGGACGGGACCTAGCGCTACCCTCTGGCCCTGACTCAGGTCCTTGGGAAGCCGAGGAAGGACTCGTGGAGCCGAGCCGAGACAGCACTTCACTCAACATCTCTTCCATCCTAGAGATCTTCTGGTTTAACCGTTGAACTTCTAATTTGACGTCCACTTTAAAATCCATAATGTTCGTCATAATCTCTTTATACTCCGCCGGAGTTCCCGCGGGTGGAGGCCTAAAAGTTTCGTTCAGTTTTTGATCACTACGAATAATACCGCTATCGTACGAATCAAACTTGCGTAAATTTGACATTCTCTGTCTATCCTCGACTTCGACGATTTCCTCAATGGTGTCCTGTCGAGTCACCTGAGCAGGGCCTACACTCCCGGCCGCAGTGACTTTTTGAAGTTTGGGGAACACTTTGTTGCCCGAACCACCAGAAGAGCCGTTTCCATTTCCTGAGCCAGAAGACTTGGCGGGGGATTCTCGTCCCGAGGCGGGTCGTGAGCTAGTGGCCGTAGTCTCACTGCCAGAGTCCAGGCTGGAGCCGAGCAGTCGCCCCCACTTGCTGGCCCTCACTGTGGTGGGCCGAGCTGTAGACTTTTGCATCGGCACCAAGGCTGACGAGCTACTGCCACTGTCGGCCTCCATCACACTGGACAACTTGGCCGCACAGATCGAGTGTCGCTTCTCTGCCAGACTACTGTCACTAGGAGCGTCACTCTTGTCACCCTTCTCCACATCCCCGCCCACCGGACTCTGTGATTGTGAAGCTTGCGCCTGCAGAGCTCGGTCCCTGCGGAACTTGGAGAATATCTTACGCACGAGATGGTCTTGGTTCTGATCTAGCTGAGGTTCGTTTTTCCGCCTCTCTGCCAACTCTTTCTCTCTTCTCACATCAGCGACTTTCCTAAATATCAGCTGAAACGGAAGTCAAATATCAGTGATGAATGTGGACTCCGTCTAAGGTAAATGCCAAATGTAAACATTTAATGCGTGTTAACCAGCAAATCAAAATGACTTACCCTATGTCTCAAGTTGTATGTGAGTAGGAGGTTGCGTGCGAAGCTGTTGGCGAAGGCTTGGTAAAAGTCAAGCACCTCCAGTAGTTTGTCCCGCTTTATAGTATGAAGGTCGCAGTAGGTTAGAGCTCTGACATTAGCTGCAGACTGGCCTACTGCTGAGTCCTTCCAAAACGAATCTCCAAAAACATCCCCCTTGCCTAGGTACAAAACAACAATGATTAAAAACACTTTTGGATGAATAATCTTATTGTTTTGGGAATAACTAGTAAAACCATGTCAGGCACACAAGGTAACAGTGCAAAAATACCTTACCTTACCTATGTGGCCACCCAAACCTCAGAAGGTTTTGGCATCAGCAGAAAAAAACAGTGCGAACAAAATTTCTGTTGATAGAGAAATAAAAAAGTTATTATTGATCAAACTTGTCCTATTATTCAAACCTTAGGCCTGCACATTAAATTACAGTAAATAAAGATACGCTTATTTAACACAGTTTAGTTACTATAGCAAAGAACACAGGTAGACAGTACTGACGGAGTGCTCAAATAATCAGGTTCCTAATTACTGGCACCACAACAATATTTACGAAGAATAAGGACGAATCTGACTGCACCACCAACAAAAATACTAGTTACACCAAATATTAAGCTGTATAAAATCAAAATACCAACAGATTTGTAAGAAACTCTCCAAGGTAAAATATTACATTGTAATTTATCATAAACTCACAACTACTCTTTGATCGTCAAATTCTTACAAATATTTTTCTGTAGAGAGAAAGAGGATATTTTTGCATACAACATTTAGACACTCACTGGTTTCAATGTAGACAGCTCTGGCAATTATAAATATTGCTATTGTAGATGGATGAAAGTTTGTGTGGCCAACAACAAAGGGGTTCTTTGCATGACAAGACCACGCACAGCACTGAAGAAGCTTTTCCATTTCACTTTGTATCTAATATTATAATTTTACTCATCCCTCTATGGCAAATTCTCTTGTACAGTAATGTCTTGATTGTGTGTTATTTTTGTGTGGTATAACTGTATATCATAGTGGGTACAATCAAGCAAATCTCTTTGCCATCTTGATCTGTACGGTGCTCAGAAGGTCTTTAATGAAAAGTGCTTTAGACAAATGCACTTAACAGTGTGCTTTCTGATGGTTTCAGTAATGCATACCACATGGTTGTTTAATCATCCTATACTGTATACGTCTCTCATACACATTGTGCTCACAAAGATCTATTTGTGGCTAGTTTAGGTCAGATAATAACTACTGTACATTGCTCCCAAGTCAAGCCTCAAAAATTTAGTTTTATTCCTACAAACTAAGATTCTTTCATGCAGTTACCTTATGACTTTATATCAAACTGTTATAAATAAGTTTCCATTAGGCCAAACTTGTATATTGTCCAAGACTGCATTAAATTTGCAACATAATAGGTCCACTCCATGTCGACCTTATTAACCTTTGTTATTTCATATCTTAACTTACAATTCAAGACAACACACATCATTGTGCATATTTAAAGCTGAAAATCAAGTATGGAGTGAAGTGAGATAATCAGTACAGCTTTATTACTGACTATGATCAGCTGATTCTTTCAACCCATAAAAAGCCCAATGAAAGGTAGGCTGGGTCAAATACCATCAAGTTTATCCCAAGACTGAACAAACCAATCATCAAGCCTGCAATATAACCAATTAACTACCCAGCATTAACACAAAAACAATAACATAGCAGAAAAGTGTGACCAAACGCTACTAACCGAGAATGGCAACGACCTCATCATCCTGGATGACCTCAAGGCTGCCAGTGACTATGAAGCAGAGCGAGTCTATACTCTCCCCAGTGTGGTACAGAAGATCCCCAGGAGCCGAGTGACTCATGGTGAAGTGCATAGCCAGCGCTCGCAGACAACCGTCGCTCGCCAGCCGGAACGCAGGGTGCTCATTGAACACCTTGCGATTCAAGTGGACGCAAATGTCTGCCTTCATGTCTTTGGGACAGTAGTTGAGCACCTAGTAGAGACAAATGGTGTAAACTATTTGTTAGATGTTGATGTTGGACACATAATGTGTAGTATTGTTGGGATAGCAGAGTTATCTGAATGAGAAAATAATGTAACTTTTAAGTGCTGATGTTTCGATCTTATTGCGGACAGCCATCGTCAGAAATGTTCATTGGAACAGGTGTTACACGTGACTTCTGTGGATTAGAGCATTAAAATGATACCTGTTTTAGTAAACATTCTGAAGATTGCAGCATAGAGGCTGGCAATTTAGTACTTAAAGATGAGTTTTTTTTCTTTACTCGGTAATAATCAGAATAGCTAGTTTATAGGGTAAGTTTTAGTGAGCTTGGCCTTTAATTTCTTATGAATAAGGAAGCACTACACACTGGCTAAAAAAAACACAAACATTAAAACACAAGTTGTGTTTTACTTACAATTTTTTAACTTTTTTATGGTTGAAAAAGTTGTTAGTGACCACACAAAAAGTTTAAAGTGCTTGTGTTTATTGTATCATGGATCACTATTTGATAGGTCTGCAATTCCAGCAAGAAATACCTACTAAGATGAATGGGTTTAGTTTTATTTTTATGTAAAAGTGAACATCTATGAAGGTTGTTTTTACAAGTATATAACAGCTTAGCTGCGTTTTTCATTACAAAGGTTGTGATTATCCCTAACACATAGACTATTCATAACTTATAGAAAATCAATAGACTTGATAAGGAATTTTGATTGGACATAACATTGATTTAAAGCTTGTTTTTTGTAAGCTTGAGCTGATGTTTGTATGTGGTTTTTTATTGAATTGAACCAAGATTATTTTAGCTTGTGTGTGTTAACATTTACAAGCTAATTGAAATATTGACCTATTGCTGCCTTTATCTTGAAAGTTGAAGTTAACCTATAACTAAAAATATAGATATACATGAGAATAACAGGTGGGCCATAGAAAACAGGCATAAAAAACACAATATTTCCATCCCCTTTTTTATGTGTGTCTGCTCTGATGTGCTATATGGCCTACATGTACTTTTTTTAAGGTATGCTAGCTGCTATCCCTTTTGTTTCACAATAAAAAATCCTGGCCTAGAGCCTTTCCTTGAACAAAACTAACCTAATGATAAAAGAGTCATTATATACAAATTTTCATTGAAATTATATCTCAAACCTAGGTTCTACAACACTAGTTGCAATGATACTATACCTAATTTTGAGATTCTATAGGGTTGGTGAAATACAAGGGTGGTGTTGATAAAAAATACACTTACAATGGGAATATAACTAAGGTAAAATTGCTAACAATGAATTTACAATTATAAAAGATAATTCAAGACTAATCATATTCTGTTTGCTGGTGTAGTCAAATAAACTCATCTGGCTTGAATGCTACAAATAAAACCTAACTTAGAAGTTCCCCATTATTTAACATATGCAGTGTTGGTTCTAGGCATTTTTTCTAGCGTAAGTGAACAGCGTTCCGGCGCTCAACCCCCTCCCCCCTTAAAAAACATATATGATAGATGGATTATCTCTGGATGGATTTAAGTTAAGAATATAAGTAAACAAATATAAATGAGGATGGATGAGTCAATCTTTTGTTATTTATGTTTATGGTTATTTAATAATAACACTAAAACGAGTGGGAGTATGCGCTTACAATATACGATTTGCCCTAACTCCTTACTCCTACAGCCCAGCAATTTAGCGATGTAAATAATTAGCTTTTAAATTTTAGCATGAATATATTCGAACGCTATATGAAATGAAATCTTATGGGCCCAAAGGAATCACAGGTGGGTTATGGTTCACAGAGATTAAATTAGAAGCGCCACCAGTACTTTTGCTGGTTCGTGGGGGTTGAACATAAGGAGGTGTCGATTCTCAACTACCAATACTTGGACATTGGTACTGGTATTGTAAATCAATGAAAAAGTCTATGCTGATACTGATACCCCGACACATCTGCGGAGATCGTGCAATCAAAAAAATACTGCTTTTGCTAAGCATGAAGACATGATGAGCATGATGTTTCTATGACAGTAGGAGACGATGCTGTTTTTTACACAGGCACGGGAGATTATCAGAATTATGTGGCGATCGCAAAAGATGATGATAATATGTACACAACCACAGAGACATGATTTTGGCAGGAGCCAATGACGATGTCTATGACTTATCCAAAAAAATTATCAACATTTTGTTGCGGTCGCAGGAAAAGATTATGATGTCTAGACGACCGTGGGAGATGTTCATGAGTTTACCACTATTGTGGAAGCCGATAATAATGTTGCTGCTGTTACTACAGAAAATGATCCGAATTTTGCCAATTGTGATTTTCACACGGGCGCGAAAATGTTTATAGTGTTACATATTCAATGCCACTAGCCTTTTTTAATTCCTAACATTGGAGAGCGTGTAGGCGACTCCTTTTGATTGGCCGCCTACAGGACTGTGTTCCTACTTACCCCTTAAACCGGCTCTGCACATATGATTGGGAAGTGTGCAAATTACTATTAGTTTAGAATGAACTAAGTTTCTCGTGATTTTTTTGTACTAAGAGATTCTACCCGGTTGACAACAAGTTTTGACCACACACAATAAGTTTTTTATAAAGTTTTGACCAGTGAAAAAACAATAAATCTTTATTTTTACTCTAGTTAAGAGCAAAAACTTCAGAGTAGTCCTTCAGGTTAACGGTTAAAATTATAAAGTTAAACCTAGTAAAGGAAAACAAAAATGCTTATGTATTTATAGGTAACTCTGCACAATAAAAAAGCTATTACGCCTTAAAAAAAATAATATATGTTTGTTTATAAATGTGAAACTTATTGCTTAGTCAAAGAAGGAGTTTTTACGGTACACAAAAAATAATGGTTGGGAACACTTTAGCAAGTGAAGGGTTAGTGATCATATAATATATACTTAAATTTATTGAACAACTAAAGCGTGCAGCAAGCGATTCTAAGCACATTCTCAGCACAGACTTAATATTTTACATTAGAAATAATCAGTGGTAGCAAAAACTTAAGCACAAACCAAAAAGCTAAATGGTGTGATCGTGTGATGTCAGTGGAAAATATTTTACAAAAATCAAAAGTGAAAAATTAAAGGGTATTGCAAATCTATAGTCCTCGCCACCCAAAGTTGAGGCAGCCCAAGGGTGCGGCTTTTGGCTGCCTCAACTTAGGGTGGCGAGGACTATAGTAGGCCTATGTCTCATTCAAATCCTGCTGGCAACTTTAATTGTGTTGCTGTAAAAAAGCTCGTCTGAGAAAATTGTTTGCAATTAAATTTATTAGGGCCTACTTTGAATATTTTTTTTTAAATATTGCTAGTGCTACTGTTTTAAAAAATCTTTAAAATAACCATTTAATTTGATTTGTTTCTGTTGAAAACACATTATTTTATGAATCAAAAAAGAACACTAAGGTGGTATAAAATTACATTTACTAATTTTTTGATAATTTTTATGATTGGATATCATATCATCACTACATCTACCATGACGATACAAAATAGGTTAGCCTTCCTTTTTTCAGTTTAATCCCATTCGTTCAGTATACCTAAATGACATGTAGAACCCTTTGCTGGCGATAGATGCGGTGCATATTATATGTGCGTCAAAGTTAATTCAGAGGCTTGTATTTGTCAGGGTGTCTAGTTTATTTCCATTATAAAATTCAAGACTAATTCCAGACTTTTCAAGACTAATTCCAGATTTTTCAAGACTAGTTTTTTCAACAATTAGTGCGTGTTGATACCAAAATGTATCGATTCTTGATTCTTGATACCGATACCAATTTTTATAGCTTAACCAAATTTTCTGAATAATACTACACCAACCTCTGTCTTTGTCATAAAGTAGTGTTATGATAATGTGGTGTTTTCAAGTAAAGAAATAATGCAGCAACCCGCGGCCGAGCAGCTATCATCGTCGTCTCCCGCGGTCTCGGAAACGTCATCGTCGTCTCCCGCGGTCATGGAAACGTCATCGTCATCTCCCGCGGTCACGGAAACGTCATCGTCATCTCCCGCGGTCACGGAAACGTCATCGTCATCATCCGCGATTGCGACAAACTCATGAACACTTCCCGCGGCCGAGCAGATATCATCGTCGTCTCCCGCGGTCACGGAATCGTCATCGTCGTCTCCCGCGGTTACGGAAACGTCATCGTTATCTCCCACGGTCACGGAAACGTCATCGTCATCTCCCGCGATCGCGACAAAATCATGAACATTTCCCGCGGCCGAGCAGATATCATCGTCGTCTCCCGCGGTCAAGGAAACATCTCATCTCCCGCGGTCACGGAAACGTCATCGTCGTCGTCCGCGATCGCGGCAAAATCATGGACATTTCCCGCGGCCGTGTAGACATCATCGTCGTCTCCCGCGGTCACGGAAACGTCATCGTTATCTCCCGCGGTCACGGAAACGTCATCGTCGTCGTCCGCGATCGTGACAAAATCAGAACATTTCCCGTGGCCGAGCAGATATCATCGTCGTCTCCCGCGGTCACGGAAACGTCATCGTTGTCGTCCGCGATCGCGGCAAAATCATGAACATTTCCCGCGGCTGTTTAGACATCACCGTCATCTCCCGCGGTCACGGAAATGTTATCGTCATCGTCCACGATCACGGCAAAATCATGAACATTTCCCGCGGCCGTGTAGACATCATCGTCGTCTCCCGCGGTCACAGAAACGTCATCGTCATCTCCCGCGGTCACGGAAACGTCATCGTCGTCGTCCGCGATCGTGACAAAATCATAAACATTTCCCGCGGCCGAGCAGATATCATCGACGTCTCCCGCGGTCACGGAAACGTCATCGTCGTCTCCCGTGCTCACGTAAACGTCATTGTCGTCTCCCGTGCTCACGGAAACGTCATCGTCGTCTCCCGCGGTCACGGAAACGTCCTCGTAGTCTCCCGCTGTCACAGAAACGTCATCGTCGTCTCTCGTGGTTTCGGAAACGTCATCGTCGTCTCCCGCGGTCACGGAAACGTCATCGTAGTCTCCCGCTGTCACAGAAACGTCATCGTCGTCTCTCGTGGTTTCGGAAACGTCATCTTCGTCGTCCACTATCGCGGCAAAATCGTAAACATTTCCCGAGGCCGTGTAGACATCATCATTGGCTTTTGCGGTTACGTAAACGCAAGACGACGATCGCGGCAAAATCATTAAAATTCCCGACTTTGAAATCAAATTTAAGACTAAATCCCGACTTTCAAGACCATTTTGAAATTCAATACTATTTCCCGACTTTCCCGATTTTCCCGACTACTAGACACCCTGATTTGTAAATCCTTGGGGATGTTTCATTAGGCAACACATTTTGGCATAGAGTTGCATGTTTAGGTTAGGACTCTTAAAAGTAAACCTCTAAAATAGTTAACATCCTATTGGTCGAGATACAGGGATTTTCTAGCAGACCAACAATTCACAATTACTACAGGAGTCTATTCTAATCCCCCCCCCCCCCACCCCCAGCAAAACCTGCAGACTAAAAAAATTTCCATTTATCTGAATGGCTTTTCACCTATACAAGTCTTTCTACTTTCTTTCTTTAATACTTTTTTATTAAATTTATTTAACATTTAACTGAATGGCCAATAAAATCATTTGAATCATTTGAAATGGCGACCATACAAAGTAGGTATTTAATTTTAAGCCAAGTATGAATGGAGGTGAGTGTAGGATGAGTGGCGCGATCTTGTACTCTTGTTAGTGAATAAGGCCGATATTCCTTAAACACAGCTGTTAATTAATAGCCCATACAGCTAATGGCAACTAAGGGACCTACAGTTTATAGTGGAATCCGAACTACATTTTTGCCTTGGTTTGGTATATACGAATTGGTCTAATTATCAGGATAGTACTGCGGATAGTCGTAGTACTCACTCGTGGGGACGTTAATCCACACCAGGGAGTATCGTATCCACAGTGCGTGCCTATAAATATCCACAATTCGTGACCTCCTAGTAGACCTCTGATTTATTGTGTATTTATGTTACAATAGATTTAACGAGTTCTTAGGTTTGTTGCTATCTCTCTATTGAGTGAGAGGCCCCTATATTCTGATTCTTTGGTTGGTGGAGCTAAGATGGTTTAGAAATAAACTTCGTATTACTTCAACTTCATGAACTCGGCACATTGTTTTTAACGATCCGATCAGCAAATAAACCTGTGAGACTATAATCAGTTTCTACGACTGCTACAATCTTGGTAAAATCAGGACAATGAATAAAAAGTTGAAAACTAACAAATATCATCCTCTGGCATAACACATTAGTGAACATCTTCCACAATTGTGAAGGAATTGTGAACCTGACTCACGCTGAACATTCACGGTGAAAAAGTGAACATATTTCAACATCATGGAGACATCATTTTCGTCTTCTGCAAACGCAGCAAAATCAGGAACATATCCTGTGTTCATGGAGAGTTTGTGAATATCCATAGCGTTCAGGATAACTTCAACATCGTCTCCAGCGATCACTGCGAAATTATTTGTCATTTTCTTTCAGGCAATCTGTGGAGACAATTTCGGTCATCACAAGATTAAAAGCTTGGCTCAAAAATCAAACCAACTAACAGATTATTGGTGAAACTAATTTCTCGAGAAAACATTTTTTTTTTTGAGACCCCAAGTGAGGCCCCCGGCAACCGCCATGTCTGCCCTTAGGGAAATACGCCCCTGCTCGGTTGATGTTTCTAGCCTCTGGGGTTATCAAGGCGAAAGAGTAAATTGGTCTGGGTGAGACTACGGTAATAGCTATATGGAAAAATTTGCTAGATGAAAAAAAATACTTAAACAATAGTATTTTTTATTCCTTTCTTTAAGAACCTTATTTTGATCAACCTTGCTCCTTTGACGCACAACATTATTCATCAATTTGTATCCATACACAGCAAAATATTTTACACATTTCTGTTGCCATGTTTAGTACTGCTCAAAGGTAGGCCTACTGTAACACTAGTGATTCATTAATGATCGCTATCATTACGAGACTGTACCACACCCTGTACATCAAGTACTCTTACTAGACACTCAATTATGAAACCAGTTAAACGTAAACATTTCCCCATTTGAGAAGGTTAGAGCTAATTGAATTTTCTCAAACGAGTATGCGCTGCAGAGAGTATATCTTTCAAGCTTTGACCGATATGAGTGAAATCTAACGCCAGCAATGGGTTTAGGAAGTGCAAAAACACCTTCACCTGCACAGACATACAGATTCAAACTTGGGATGAACTTGCTTTTCAATAATGGATCCCTTATACAAAAAAGCATATTTAAACGAGACATTGTCAATGAATTCTTTCAGCAGTCTTGTGTCTGTGTGCCTGTTAATCACATGCTATTCACTAGACACACAAGACACACTAAAAGAATTACACTACAGTGAGTGTGAGGTGTGTAAAATAAACGGTGAGTAAGCAAGGTGCGGACTGACCCTTGTCTGCTCCTGCATGGAAAAAATGGAACAATCAAAAATTGGTTTTTAGATTTAAACCACTACATTACGCTACCATCTAATCAATAGTTTTAGTTCCTAAAAAATGTACCACTTTATCTACAATTGTGTTAATTTAATTATAATTCCAATGTTTGTCAAGAATGTGTAGGTCTAAAAATGTTCATCTAAAAAACAGTATTTTCCAAATTTTCAATCCTCAAAACAGTTATTTTTTCAAACAATTTTAATAGACAACCAAATTAGTGGGGAAACGCAAAAATAGAATAGTTTTACTCACAAAGCCAATTGAAATTTACCTTACAACTTTTTAAAACAAAAATTAAATCAACATTGTTTTCAAAGTAGCCTAAATTTCAAAAACATTTATTTTTCCACAAAAAAGTCTAAACAAAAAATTGCACTACCAGAGAAATATAGTTTTTCAGGCGAGAAGTCATGGCTGATTCGAAAGCAGATGAAGAACGCATGAAACTTTGTGCACAAGACCACAAACAATCAGTGGTTGCATATAGTATCCAAACGCAAAACGCAGTTCTAGCATACATTTCTGTGCCGACTGTTTGCCACGTTATAAATGTGATTTAGTGATTCCAACTAGTACAACATCGAACAATCATTCATGTTACCTTGGAGAGCTCACAGCATAAGAATAGCGATTGCGAATCAAAGTGGGATGGGAAGATGAGTTACCTTGTCTGTGTCCAGTCCTTTTGTCATCGCCCACGTAGAGACTACGTAGTCCATCACCCTTTCCGACAGAGCCTTTGGAACCTCGTGGAGTTTCATGAACTCTCGCACGTTGTTGAGCATATCATGGTACTTGGCAGTGGCCGACGTCATCTGCTGTATGATGGTAGTCACGTGACCAAAGATGGTGGCGTACAGTAGAGCTGCAGAATGAAAAAGAGTTGCAAATTGTTCTAAAGAGTATAGGTAAAAGAATAGGAAAATAAAATGATAAAATGGTTTACCAAATTAAATAAATATAAAAGCATTTTGAGAAACAATATGTAAGCTAACCTACAAACACATGTGTCATATAAGTAAAATATGTTTTTTTTTAGAAACATGATTAACTAAGAAATCCATTGTAGTATAAGGTTACGACAATACAAAATACAAGTTAGAATTTTTTTTTAGAATATGGCAATAGCTTACCTGACAGCAGCAATAATCAACAAGGTCAATACTCTGTAGTTTAATATGTACATTGTAAACTATCAATTTGACAAAAGTTATCATGAAAAACAGAGTTTGTACTTTGATGAACGCCTGCAAATAAAGACCTTATTTATTTAATTATTTATCAGACGTTGCTTGTCCTTAAATCCCACCCTTTTGTGTGTAAAAGCAATAGGTGTAACAAAAGTTTTATGGTTGAATAGTTGAAACCACGTGTTCTGATATTATTCGGATTGCAATAACCTCATTTTATTAAATTAAACTAAATTCATTAAAAAATAAAACACACATTACATGGGGGTATAAAAATGAATGTATGCAGTTTTCTTAAGAATTCCTACATGTAACTAGGCAAATTTCACCCAATGCAAAAAGGACCAACAAAATTAAAAAATGCTTCATGTTATTGATTTTACCACAGATTGAGGTTACACAAAGATTGGTCTTAAATTATACGTTGGTGTACAGTGGTAGAATTTGTAAGCCTAGCCTTGACACACCGGTTGCTTAAGGCCTACCGCACACGAGAGACTTTTTGTCGGCCGACTATACAGGGTGATTGATATAAGTGTGCCAGCCGTTTTATTCGAAAACTATAAGAGATATCAAAAAAAGTTAAATGGTAAGTGCCTTGGATTTTTTATTTAAAAAAACAAAAAAATTATTTTAGCCACCATTTTTCCAATATGGCCGCCAACTTTGATTTTTCTTACGGAACATCCTGTATTTTATGATGTATTCTGGTAGAAAAAGTAATTTTAAGACAATTTTATTCTTGTGATTTTTTTCATAAACCTAACCGTTTTGAAGATAAGTTTTGAAATTTCTGCATGAGAAAGAGTTTCGATAAAGGCCTAAGCAAGCATGCCACCTGTTTTGCTCGAAAACCATTCAAAATTGCACAACTTAAACCATTATTATCATTATCTTTGAAACGGTTAGGTTTATGAAAAAAATCACAAGAATAAAATCGTCTTAAAATTACTTTTTCTACCAGAATACATCATAAAATACAGGGTGTTCCATAAGAAAAATCAAAGTTTGCGGCCAAATTGGAAAAATGGCGGCTAAAATAATTTTTTTGACTTGACTATAATTTTTTTAATAAAAAATCCAAGGCACTTACCTTTTAACTTTTTTTGATATCTCTTATAGTTTTTGAATAAAACGGCTGGCACACTTATATCAATCACCCTGTATAGTCGTAGTCGGGAGTCAAAGTCGGCCCCATAGTGGTAAATCTGAGCGTGCACACGGGCCGACCGCAGCAAGACAGTCGGCAGACTGTCTGCAGACAGTCGGGGCAGTTTGGTGCTGACTGATTTTCTCGCCGACTGGTCCCCGACTCAACTGTCGTGTCTTATTGATAAAGGCATGGAGATAAGTTTGAACGCGCACACTGACGACTAAAAAGTCGAGTGCTTTGTTATCATGTGTATTATGATTGTTATTATGATAAGTATTATTATTTGAGTGTTATTGTTATTATTATGGCTTCGACAACCACCAGTGCAAGTGTTTTGAGGGACGATAAAGTTGATCGATGAAGTTGAGGCACGGTCCCCTCTTTATAAAAAAAGACTTTGAAAGAGTATTTGGTCATAATAAAAAAATACCACCGCTGCAGCAAAACTGCAGACTAAGTGAATTCCCATTTGCCTGATTTAACTTTTTATTTAATCTATTACAATGAATTTAGGATAAACAAGTACCTAGGTTTGCTGCTACAGGTAGGGTATTCAGGGTGTGTTTTAGTAAAACATTAATAGCTGAGTATAAAATAAATATATTTGCCAAGTTTTATCAAAATACATCCATAAACAAGCAAACTACAACAGTTTACTTGTTCTACATATAAATGACATGAAAATTTTAACTTTAAATATTTTGGAATTTCCCTGTAATCATTATGATAATAATTAGCATGCTAAATTATTTGTTTTTCGAGCTCTGCAAAATTAGATGCAAAATTAGCTCTGCAAAATGGGAAACCCCCATTTTTACCCGATAAAACCCCCCATAAACCCCCGTTCCCATAGTCATGCTGGTTTGCGAACTCATTCGAATAAAATACATGTAGATTTACACGTTTGTACCAAATTTCATCAAAATCGGATTTTTTTTTTCGATTTATCATGCTAACGGACAAATATATATATGTGTGTGTGAATTTGAACGGATGGTGTTTTTGGCCTCTACGGACATCAAAACGAAAAGGTAAATCGGTCCCGGAACCAGGTCTCACCATGAGACCTACGGTTACAGCTTATTCCTTAAAAGTTATGGGATGAGGTATTTGAAGCCGGGGTATTAGCAATTGGTCAAAAAATCAACACTCATTCATGAGTACATGAAAAATTTGTCCGGATATTTCCTCAAATCCGAGTATAGAGGTAAATCTAGCCTTTCAAGGTTCTCGGACTATAAATTAGATGCACCCAGTATTTTCTCTTAAGTTTTCTTGCACGAAATCTTGTCAGTAACGCACATATGACAGCGATTTCTGTCATATACATCCTTTTGACACTCGAAAGACGACTAAACAGTCGTGGCGTGTGGGCACCCATAGTCAACGACCAAACAGTCTTGACGACTTTTCGATTGTCCACCCGACTCCAGCCAGACAGATGGCCAACAGTCGGCCGACAAAAAGTCTCTTGTGTGCGGTAGGCCTAATACTTTTCATTAAGTTAAAGTTTAGCTGGCATTATATGAGAAAAACGGGGCCTACACAGAAATTTAACAATCAAAAATAGTTCTGTCCCAATTAAAGAATATGATTCTTAATTACTAAGTATGTGACATACTAGTAACATTATGACCTGGTTTATAGTTAAAGTTTATGCAAAAAAATTACTACTTAACAATAAACTAATCAATCTACATACATCACAAACTCAAGACAGATATACTTGCCTGCTATTATCATCATGCAGATGGTGAATATCTTCTCGTTGTCAGTTTCCGCGGCGACGTTGCCAAACCCCACGCTGGTCATGCAAGTCATGGTGAAGTAGAGCGCAGTGACGTACATGGTGCGGCGAGAAGGGCCGTTGATCAGCTCAGGCGATGGTTGTGTCGAGTCGTTGTTCCATATGTAGCTGTACGGTGCTTGTGTCACATTCGCCAGCTTCCACAGCCACGAGTATTGAACACCGTTGTCAGCGTCTGACCGACCTGTTGGCGAAATTGTAACTATAATAATTACTTTACTAGATGTGATCTCAGGGTCGCCAATCAAGCAAACAACAGTGTAAATTAAGGATCTGATTTCTATAAAATTTTGTATAGAACGATGTCATATATTACGTGACATAACAACTCAATTAAACTATTAACCCTTTCAGTGCTATGAAACGATATATCATTGTTTTAAAAAATTTCTAAGGGATATAGAGAAGAAGGTTATTTTAACAAAAAGAAGAAAAACGGCCATTGGTGACCTGCATGTTCATAGGATACACTATCAACCACTTAGCTAAAAGATTCGCCCAATCCGATGATTTCGAGGTGTATGTCTAAACCAAGGATTGTGAACACCTCACTATGCCCCAGTGGTTGTAGTATATCGCTACAAACACACAGGTCACCAATTATTTGCCACACAGGACGGGGATCGAACCCGAGCAGACGAATGCCACTGGCCAAGTGACACACGCCCTAGCCTTCTCGGCTATCTGTGCTTGAAGACTGAGGAGTCAAAAGCCGGTATTTAAGCTGATGCCACCGATTGCGAACAGATAGCACTACAGATGGTTGTTCAATGTGTTACTAGGTAGCAGCACTAGTTAGTCACGGACTATTTAGATGATATTTTCAGTTGAAACACAACAGTGATCATAATATTGTGTTCCTGAGATTTTGCTGCAAAACATTATTTTCCCTAAAATGGCTATATTATGATAACCTCGTCCAACTAAATCAAAGTTAAATTCAATATTACATTTTAAACTATATGTCTTTTGATTTTATGAGATTTTGGTTTCAAAAAATGCTATCAGAACATAAAAATTTAAAGGAAAACCAGGAAAATTACAACAACAACTAAGTTTCATTTAATGTTTACTACAAATACCAGGATTTATCTTTGCTATACAATTTCGTATTGTCTTATTATTCAAAATTAGCCTAATTAATAAAATAGTGACAACATTACAGTTAAAATTCAACAACAGGTAATGTAATTGAAAGGCAAACAAAAAAGTACGGATGGTCAAGTCTCAAAATTTCGGGAAATTTTAAATCTCGTTACACGAGACGAGATTTCTTTTTAGCCGAGAATTTTTATCGAGACGAGAAAAAAAAAATTTTAAACGCCTGCAGAAAGTCAATGCAATACCCGCAATACAGGAGCGTGTTGTAGTTGCGTTTCCTTTGCGAAGGCGTTCTTATTTAATTAATTCTTTAAATGTAAATATTACTTTAATTATTTTAATAATATTACTTTAATAACATTTGAAAAGTTTTGTTAAGTGTAAGCAGTGTGAGGAACTATAAAAAGTCAAAACAAGTAACTATTTTATAAAAATTAATATTGCTTTTATTTTATGATTTATTTTATTTTAGGATAAGTTGAACTCTATCCTAACTGATATCACTATGTTTCCTAATCGTAGGCATTTTTAATAAGTTAGGCGTGATTAATAAAAAGATTTTATACTGATGTTTTTTAATAAAAGATTGTAAATATTCTTGCCTGTTATCATTATTTTTGTATTTAAACAGTCATCTAACAATGTTACAAAATCAGGTAAAAATGTTGAACGTGCATTTCCCGTATGAGAAGAGAAATCCTGTCTCGAACTAAAAATCCAATCTCGTCCATCCCTACAAAAAAGTCTTACGAAATACAAATTATTGGCCTAGCACTGAAAGGGTTAATAGTCAATATACTTTATCAAATAGTATCAAATTTATTATGAACCCTATATAGTTCTTACTCTTCCATCTGTCCTTGAATCCTACCGCTTTTAGTACAACTTGTACAAAAATTTAAAAAAATCTAGAAGTTCAAACAAAATTTAAAACTCAACCCTTGGACACAAGACAATGAAGGGGACACACAGACTAATTCATACTTCACGTACGTGCACATTGCTAATTTTCTACACCATATAATTCCCTTAGGCCCCAGTTTTTGACCTGACACAACTTGAAGTAAAACGCCCGTCCCACACAATTCTGTAATAGCCTTATTCATGAAATGCAGCATACGACTATGGTAGTTAATTAACCAGAGTTGGGATTCTTAGCCTTAAGCAACAAAACAACCATAGCTCCTACCACAGAATAATAACCTAACCCAGGATTCCAGAACTCACTAAGCAATAAAAACTTTGGGTTTTATTCTAGAGGTTAAATACCTTATTGTTGCCCCTGTAATCCACTGTCGTCTGGATGGCGACCGGTTTCAACACTCATGGTGTCATTGTCAAGCCTTAAAGACGTGTTGTCACTCCTAAGAGGTCGTCATAAAGTCATCAGAAGACAAAGACGCTGATAACAATGTGAGGGGTAGGGGGGGAGGTAAAGGACTTGGCGACGGTCAGTCTAGACCTACACCCTGAACCCGCAGCGGCACCCTGAGAATTAGTGTTCTTATATGGCCATACTGTATTATTTATTTGTAAATATGTTTGTGCGTGTCTCATGTATTTATTTTAAAGACTTTATGACGACCTCCTAGGAGTGACAACACGTCTTTAAGGCTTGACAATGACACCATGAGTGTCAAAACCGGTCGCCATCCAGACGACAGTGGATTACAGGGGCTACAATAAGGTATTTAACCTCTAGAATAATATTGATCAGTAATCCGGAAGGCAACACCTCAAAAATTTTGGTTTTAATCTGATAGTGTCAACTCCAGAATCTAGGAGCAATGTTATTTTATTTAAGTATACATTTCACTATTAAAAAGGTTTAAATACCTGCTATCAAGCAATTCATTTAATTGCAGTTACAGCTAGTTTCGACTCCTATGTGGAGTCATCTTCAGGCGGTCTAAGGACTTCTTCTTTCTTCACATTAAGAGCGTCATATTTAACACGTAAAAATAAATAAACATTTACACACGGCACAAAACACGTTTACGGACACGAAACATTTACTGATCAGTTACGACAACAGACGATGCAAACCTGGCGGACAGTCTGGACTCAAACTCCAATTGTTGCAACTGTAATTAAATGGATTGCTTAATAGCAGGTATTTAAACATTTTTAATATTATTTGGTAATCCGGAGGCTACTATCCACAATGAAAATACATTTCACTTTTGCATTATGATCAACTGCTGAGTAAGATGTTGGTTCTCTCTTTTATCACCCCCGGTGGGTTAGCCAGCCATCAAAAGCAGCAAGATTCTGGTGTGGACACTAGCAGATTCAAAACGTAACTTTTTTTTAATTAATGAGAGTTTTAGATTAGGCCTTTATTCTGTGCTCCTGTTCAGGTTCGACTAAAGCCTAATCTACCATGTAAACAATAGAAACTAAATATGAATAGTTCAAATTATATTACAAAAATATATGAGGGCTTTTGTTTTTTAGGTAATAGTTGTTTTTGGGTATAGCTCCAAGTTCTGCATGTACACCGCTATGAGGCAGCTCGCTGCTTACTGGCATAAGTGGTGAACAGAATGGCGCCACTTGCAGCTCTTTAGCTGACATTTATAATGTGCTGTGTGTACTGCTGTGTGTACAATGTATCGTGTTAAAAATTTTTAAATTATTGAATCTAATGCCGCATGCGAGATGAGGTAGTTATACGTTTGACTACAAGACACATACATGATGCAGATATGCATCGTCAGATGATTGAGCTTATGACTCTAAAGCAATGAGTAAGTAAGGATAAAGTACTATACGGAAATTGGTTAAGGAGTAAAAATGGATGTTAAAATGTCCATGACGAAGAACACTTGGGCTGGTATTGACAGGAAAGTAGAATGCCGTCATTCCAAGAATTCTTGTTTGGATTTAGGAGGTGTATTATTTTTCTGCGGTACTGATTTTAATCAACATGTCATCTCCTTCAACCTTGTAGCGCATAATAAAAAAAAACTCACTAACTCTTTTCCTTTAAAGGTATTCTGTGAGAAGTCAGGGTACCCGCAGAAAACACAACTCCTTCCAAAATAGACATTTTCACAGCCATTTTGAAACTCCCTAACGTCGCTAAACCATTTTTACACTTAACCCTCATTCATTACATTATGGCAATAAACTTAAACCATCTGGTGATAAATATCTGCAGACGATATGTTTCTTGCAGTCATAAAACGTCCTAATCACGCATGCAATGGGAGATTCAATAATTTAAAAAATTTGCTAGATCCACAGTGAGGCACAAACGTCATCTAAATAGCTGCAGGTGACGCCATTCTGTTCACCAATGATGCCAGTAACCAGCGAGCCGCCTCGTTGTAACGCTGTACAGCGAACTACGGAGCTATACACAAAAACAGCTCTTACTAAAAAAAATCTCCTATTAAAGATCAGATTTAATTATTAATCCAACATTCATTTAACTTCATTCATTTAAGCATCCATTTTTTATAACCTATAAGTAACATAACTTGTATCAACTGAATGAGAACGCAAAACGGTAGAATAAGTTTCTTTCAAACAACTTACTTTTTTCTGTCTCTATGTTAGCATAAAGGTACACAAAATTAACAGGAAACATGATTCATAAACCCGGCCGATACAAAAGTAGACACACTACCAAAGTTTACACCCCAGTCTCAAATTAAAGTAGTGAGTAATAGAAGGGAAGGTATTTTGTTATTTTTCTAGACTACTACAGTATTATTAAGTCAATGGCACCATTGACAAGATTAAATTGTAAAGAGCCATTGACTTGTTGAGGTACTGAAGTAGACATAAACCTAAATCGGTAAGCTATAGACAGTTTTACTCTCGAAGAACTAACCTGAACAATCCTCTTAGGCCCGATTTCACCAAACTTTTAAACCACCGTAAAGCCTTGCTCTAACTGCAGTTAGCTCTTAACTGACGAAATCAGATTTCACCACTCGCCGTTAGCGCTAGTTTAGACTAAACCGTCGTTAGATAATTAACTGACCAATTTTGACCGGTTAACTTCTTTAATCTTTCGTTAAGTAAATATCAGCTGGCTTTAAGTTTAAAATATGGAAAGGCGAAATGGTAGAAGAGAATACGGTACGAATTAGCTTTTGAAAGTAAGTGATGGCAATGAAGGGTAACCTATGTTGTTCGCCTAACTAGGTGGATAAGAGAAAGGGTTAATGATTTTAATAACAAAGAAGAAATTGATTTTATTATTAGATGAACTATCAAAACGTTTAGCCTTTTTCTTTTGGAAATGAATACAAACCACTGTAGTGGTTTGTGTTTAGGCTATCCCACATAGTGCATTGCTTTAGGTTATCCCAAAAGGCTTTTAGTTAAGGCGTATATCTGCGATCAGCGACCGCATTGAACTGATTGGCGATCAAGAGCCGTACTCTTTTATCCCGGCTAAAAAGAGTGTCCCGGCTCTTCTACCAACATTATCGAATTTATTATTTCATTGTTCTAAAAAATAGGCTCCCTTTCCTTCTCCCGGCTTTTGGTAACCCTAACCCAACGTTCAAACAATTGTTTTGCGTTCGGTCAGATGTAAAAGTAAACCAAAATCTAAACCTAAATTGTCATTATTCTGCTAGTATTTTATATAAAATAATTATTTTTGTGTTATCTACATTGTGTCTCGTTCTTGTAATTCTTTTAACTCCAGTTTTTTTCACTACTTCAAATGTACCAAACTGGTTAGTGAACAAACAGAATATTGAACATCCCTGTAAAAAGTTGGATTGATGAGTATAACTATAAGGTATAAATATATAAGTATAAAAAGTTGGACTCGACCGCAAAACTCAACCAATTTGTTCCTCGAATATGTTTGATCAACATTGGTTTGCCTTTATTTACTTATGTTAATTGTTTTGGTATTTATTCTTGCTTTCTGTTGTTATTTTGCTCAGAATCTATTGTATTCCTGTAAGCTTGCTGTCTCCAGTTTTGTTTTCACTACCTCATAAACACTGATTTATTTTCTAGGTTATGTTTACTTGCTACCGTAACAGCCCGGTATTATGACAGTTCACTGCCACTGCCACCTGGATTTTACTCTAAACTCTCGTTTATAAAACCAGCGTTAGTTTTGAAGCGTTTTCGTTGGTGAAACCAGATTTCCTTAACTGTGGTTTAAATCATCGGTTAGTTTTAACCGAAGTTTAACTAAACCATCGTTAGCGAGAATTTGGTGAAATCGGGCCTTAAAGTGTGTTGCTACTAAGTATGGTTTTTTTGTAAGGCCCTGATTTTCCATACTACAATAATAGATGGAAACATAAAAGGAAAGTTTAAGTAAAAATTGGATTAGGTACCTATGTGCTAGCCTAACAATAGCAAAGGTAATCTAGATTAATTCAAGTTCTTGAAACCGGGCTAGAAAATAAAATCTACAAGTTACTTTAGAACAAGTTACATTGTGATAAGTTTTTTTTTCTGTTTGTTATGACCAAAGCTTTGTGAATAAGCAAGAAAACATTACTTTACATACACAGTTGGTACTTCAAATTGACCTAACTTAAATTGTTTTCATTCTAAAATTCTGTACAACTGCAACAATTGTGGACTGAGACGCCATTTGTCACAAAGCTATCGATGAGAGATTCCATCTAACGAAGGACAATGTTAAATATACTAGACGCTTGCTTATTCGGCACCTTCTGGACTTGGGCAATGGCATGTTATTGAAAATACTGAGTTACTAAAGGTCTTTAAAAGACAATGCAAGACTAGTGAAAATCAGTTTGAAGTGTTAATAGGAATGTATTGGCTAACCGTTTTTGTTTCACTGTACTTTCTTTTAATTTTAGGAGTATAAAAATCGACTCCAGATTCCAATCGACCACTCCCGACCCTGCCAAATGCGCTAGCTAAAAACAACGAAAAAGACTTTTATACCTATTCCGGATTATTGAAAGCGCTGGACCATCAGATTCCAGATTAGTGGGCTCTAGTAGGCTAGTTATAACACCCCAAATTTTATCATTCCCTGACAAACGTAAAATATACCACCGACATTGAAACACACAGCAAAAACATAAACTTTAATAAAACGTCAACTTTACAGTAAGGTACGTATAGCCAAAGACAACTCACCTATGGAGTACCAGATGCATGCCAGCCAATGAGCTACCAGCATGTAGAAGCACAGGAGTAGTATCAACATGGCAGCTCCATATTCCAAGTATCTGTCTAGCTTACGGACTACTCTGCCCAGCCTCAGCAGTCTGACCACCTTCAGTGCGCTGAACAAACTGCCGATACCCTGCACGCAAATGTTTGTATCACTTTACAGATGGAATTTATTTGTTTGTACATCTTAGTATCCATTATGCTTGAATGATGCCATAGTACTGTTGGTAGTAAATCTAGCATGTAACATCTGAATAAAGCTATCAATTCAACAAAAGAATCAAGGTTTCATGATGTTAGCCTCCGAATCACTTCAGTTAATTAATAAATGGTTTAAATACCTTCACCTGTCAGTCAGGTAATCCTTTGAGTAGTAATACACTACTGCAGTTTACACCCTCAGCCCCCCTTGATAACACCAGTCTAGACTAGTGTAAGGGAGATATAGGTTTTATATTTGTAGATATTTGTAAACTAGAGGTTATAGAGGTTGAATTGTAGATAGTGACCTTGCCAACTAGGAAGCGTGCTGGAGGTGTTTTGGTAAACACTGGGTGCTTTGCACTCAGTAGCTGTCTGGTCAATAAATAGGCCACCTGAGGTAGAGAAAGGGGTCAGTTGCCCGGGGCAAGGTGCCCAGGAGAGTTGGGTGAGTACTGGTTTCTCTATCTTGGGGTTAGGCCCTGTAGTCGGGAGTTTTGTACGGGAAGTTTTGATTTAAGGGGACTGTAAGTTAATCGGAGTTTTGTGATTTGTTTTGAAGGAATTCTTTTGGGGATTGATACTTTGATTTTATTTGATTACAAGGGAATAGTTTCGTTTAGTTTTTGGGGATTATAAATCTAAGATTCAAGCTACCTCCAGAGCGGTTCCTATTAGGCATTTGTTGGTAGGCTATACTTGAAAGTAAGCGTCACTGTATTAAACTTTATTACATAAAGACAATTAAAATCCTGTTTGAATAACACGATCTGGTTCTCTTATTGAACAGCTACCCAGCTCATAGCTTAAAGTAGAATAAGATTAAAGTTTCGGGTTTACTATAAAGCTACGCTCCCATGTGCGTATGCAGGATAACCTATAAGGAGTGTGGAGGTTTTCTGCATATCACACTAGCTCCTTGCACGCGTCGGGCATCAATGCCGGTACCAATGAAATATGACTTTAACATGTGTGTTCGTGTTTATATCCGTGTTGCCTTCTCGTAGTTGCAATGTGATGAATTTGTGTGAATGAAAAATTTTGACTTCCTTTGGCATCTAAAGAAAGCCCCCTGAGGGCTAAAACTGCAGAAGTGTATTACTATTGGATCACCTGACAGTTAAAGGTATATAAACCATTTATTAAGTATATCAGTTGCACACTTTTTCCCTATAGTTTGAGTAAGGGTGTACTACTTCAACATTTTACTGTTCTTCATGGTTGTAGGGATTTTTTCATTAAGGCTAAGCATCAATTGCTTTATTGCTTAAAATGGATATCCGATTATTTTTGATAGAATAAAGCACAGTCTCACCAAGTTTTCAAGGTTTGTCTGTAAATAAGAATCTCTTAGCTATCTCCTGCCACGACTGAGCAAGCTAACTCAAAACTGACAGCAGTGCCGTGTTTTTTACTTCTTCCACTACAATTCTAATTACCATGGATTAAGACTGGTTTTATAACTTACTAGGAGTAAAGAACACGACTACAGTGTTAGATTCGACTTATTCAAAATAAGAGGTTATGGAGACTCTTAATTTACGTAAAAGCCTTGTCTAAAACTTGTCAGCACGGTGTAATTGATAGTCAGACAAATACTGACAATCATTCTTTTCTTTTAATGAAAAAAAACTTGTATATTTACTAAACAGCATGTTCGGCAGAAAATAAGCATCTTAATGTTAACATTACAGATCAATTATCTTAAATTTTGCACAACAATGCTTAACCCACTGGTTTGGGAAAATTTTGTTTTAGCTTAACTAATTTCATACAGAAAAAAATTCTAAACTGATTAAGCTACTGATTACATATTTGATCTAAGTTGTAGTTTATTTTTAGCAGTGTGACCAGTGCACCTTAAAGACAAAAAATAAACAAATAATAAATATTAATGATAATTTTCTGGAAAGCATAAGTAAGTGTATGAAGCCAAACGCTTCCAGACAACCTGTAAGATAAACTAAATTGTGGCTATGGTAACCTCTGAAAATCGAAAGTCATCATAAATGTGTAAAAAACATTGTTAAACAGCTAAACTTTAAGCATCGGTTACACTAACACTATAACAACTTAATGAATATCTGGTAAGTTTAGAACCCTAAGTGCCTCAGCATTGGCGGTGAAAGTGCTGTAATTAATTATCATCAAAACCCAAAATGACAGAGGCAAGCAGCAGTGACATCGATGATAATCCATGAACTCATCATTTCACATATGATTCTCTGTCTCTCATAACATTTTGATAAATCTTTCATTTATAAAATGTGATTTTCAATGGAAAAATCATCAGAAAAAGGATGAATGAAAATGTTAACTGATTTAAACAACATGAATGATTATCTTGGTTTTAAGTTGATCTGAATACTTAATAAGGTAATGTGAAACACGGATTCAATTTGTTCCAAAATGTATGGTTTGATTTATGTCATAATGGACTCAATGGAGGCATAAGACAACACTTAAGAATTTGCTTTAATAAACTGTCAGCTGTAAAATTTTAGAACATGCAAGTTTTTTGTTGCAAGAATTTCAAAAGTACAAACTATTTTATATTATTAAGAAAGCGGGGACACCAAATAGCCTTTGAAGAATTAGTAAAACACATTTATTAAAATTGTGAAAAATAATCCGACGATATAAAACTTGAGAAAACCCTCATGTTTTTGAGCCAGAGCTTACATTAAAGCTAAGTGCGCCAAAGCAAAGTGAAGAACTCCATGTGCTAGAGCTACAAGCTTACCCAGGCATTTCTGTTTATAAGAGTAATGTCTGGATTCTAACAATCCTTCTAAAACATTCCAACTATTAAGCAGACCTCTCTATTATTAAGCTATGGCTAATTTTATTCAACTAGTTTTGAGTATTTGATGCAGGAAAGCTTTTAAGCATGCCATTTTTTATTTTCTAAAATGATTGCTTCAATTCAGCTATTAATTTCTGTTTACAATTGAACCTAGATAGGATTTTATTCAACGCATGTGCAGTTTTTCTCCCTGACTGCTTTAGTTTATTAACAAGGTGTCTTTTATATCTGCTAACTATTAACGCTGAGTCTTTTAAATACAAACTAATAGATGTAAAATGTGAAACTATGTACAAAAAGAAAAATGGGAAGAAAAAGACAAAAGTACACCACAAAGAGTGTAATTTACGCAAAACTTCTTCCAAAAACGGATTGAAAACCGCAAGAAGAGGAAAGCTCTAACCGCTGGTGAGAGACAGAGAGAGAGGTCTAGGCAAGCACCGATGTCACGCACTTACATTTCCATCAAACAGGTCGGACTCTTCGTCATTCTCGCAGTCGGGAGAGATGTAGCCATTACTTACGTCTTCGTCGTGGTCGAACGCGTTGAATACGTCGTACGGAAGGCAGGAGAGGAGGTCAATGACAAACCACGACTTGAGATAGTTCATCCGGATCACTTTCGGGTCGGAAACCACTTCGCCGCCGGGGCCGACGAACGTCGTGTGGAAGTTGAGGACTATGTCGATGAAGAAGATGACGTCGACGATAGAGTCGACCACGAGCAGCGAGACGTCTTCGGAAGTCTTGTTCTTGAACGCTACGTTGTACGGGACCATGATGGCAGTGTAGAAGGTTAGGCACAGGATGACCCAGTCCCAGATGGCTTTGAAGGCGCAATAGTGTAACAGGATGTGGGGTGGGGTCTTGGGAGCCTCCTGACGGTACTGAGGCATCACGTCTGCACTGAGACTCATCATCTGGTGACAAGAGAGAGAGGACTTGTGTCAATAATACAGCAACTCTTGGCATATAGCTCAACATACAAAACCAAACAGGAAAAGAGATAACCTTTGCACAATTACCTAAAATTTCACTTTTGAAATACAAAAAATCTTTTTAAACTTGATATTTTCAATTACGATGCACTATTTTTCAATTGATCACATAATTATTCAAAGTCGTACAATACAATCAGAAGAAGAAAAGAGACAACAAAGATTAAGATTTAAGAATTGATAACCAACATTTTATAGTAGTCCAAATGAGCTGTAGTCTGTATAAGCACTTGAAAGTTGTTTGTCAATTTGTTTAGAATTGAAACCGCATTTCTACAATGGATAGATGTTAGGTACAGTGATTACACCTGGCTAGCCACAAAGTTACACAGTCACAGCTGCAAATAGATGTTATTCATTTCATCCGTTTCATAATAATGCACTCTCTGTGAGATCAATTCCCTATCTTATGCATCTCATGATAATAATAATAATAATAATAATTTGTTTATTGTAGTCGACAATATTATATTACGTTACTAGTCCTGAAAATAAGTGTTTGCGAGACGAGTGTGGTCGTTCCCATGCGAGACGAAGTCAAGTACGGCATTACCATACGAGTCCGGTAAACACATTTTGGACGAGTAACGTATGATAGTTTATGCCATACTACTAAATCTGTACAGATCTTTATTACCACCAACTAAAGGACTAAAAATCACTAATGTTTTTGTATATAACTGCTCATTGCCACCCAATTACAGTATAATCAGCTGATTGGTGTCCGGTAAAACTCATTACAGTACAGTAGTAGCCTACGCAATGAAACCCCATTTGATTAAGCTGGCGGCAAACAGCTGTTTTCTGGACTAAATCCTTGCGTGGGAAGTTCGTCAAAATAGTGTGGCGTCAAATACATTGCATAACAAACGTCAGATAATCAATTAGATGATCAATTAGATCACCAACTTAAATAAATTAAGGCTGAAAACTGAAAAGTAAATTTTGTTTAAAAAGGTTATTACTTATTTTTCGACTGCTAATTTTGTAACTCATTTTCTAAAGGTCAAGTGGTTACGGCTGAAATGTTACGCCTTTGGCTGTGGTGTAAATATAGCACCGTTTTTAATCCCAGGAGAGTATAATTCTGGCAACCCATTTTCTGATGTTACAAGCCAGATCTCATTCAAGAAAGCAGACAATGAAATAAGTTCCAAGTCTAGGAAACTTTCATATTTTTTTACCTGTGACTTTTCATACCTACAATTTGTAACCTATATGAGTTCTATGCTAAACCATTTGTTCCATAGACATACTAAGACTATACTAAACTAACCTCTATCTATACCTAACATTTATTTAAGTTGCCATATTGTTTTATTTTATGTAAATGCCTCTTTTCAATTAATAATAAATGTTCACTTAAATTTTGAAGTAGAATGGACGTTCCACAAAATTATCATTTGATTACCATGCTCGCTGTGCCTCATTTAAAAACTGCTTCTAATATCCTTAAATTTTATAAGCTGAGGGTTCCAATACTGATGCTTGTTATTTCAGAATAATTATTCTAGGGAATATTATATGCTGGATTTTTTTCGCTTTTGTTAAATATAGCTTTGCGATAAACTAATGGTTATTGATTCGAGCTAACAAGTAATTGAAGTTTATTAAATAATGTAGAACATTTGAAATTTACGTTTTCTCTCTTTAAACACGGTAGTTTTGTTACTTGTATGTCCAAAGGTTTCTCAAATAAGGTGTGGAAAACGTTGGATAGAATACTCCATGCTGGACTGTTTTAAACATCTACATGCATGGTACTATTTGATTTCTATGGATTTCCTTGTACAGCCAAAAACTAAACATAGAACAAATCCATATGGAAGACATTTATTAGCGAACACATAAACTAACTGAATGCTAGTTTTAACCAGAATCAAAACCAAATATCTCAACCCTAGATCTGTATTAGTCACCAAAACCAGTTAGTCATTCAAGTATTTCCAGACAGTTTTAAAGAACTTAAGATATGGTTTTGATTCTGGTTAAAACTAACATTCAGTTAGTTTATGTGTTAGCTAATAAATGCATATTTTTAGTAAAATTATGAACAACCATTACAAACACCATTATAAACAACGAACAACTGAAATAGCACAACATTTTTCACCTTAGGTGAATCACATCATGCTCACTTGTTTTGGGGTTTGAATCCCATTTAGGTCAGGTCTGTGTGCAGCTCATAAGTTCGATCCTGTATGAGACTAAACTTGGTGGGAAAAGCGAAAAGCCTATAATAAACATACCTAGCTACCTATAATAATGAAACATACTATACCCATCTTCCACCTAAGGAACAGAAGCATGTGTGGAAGTAAACAGAATGAGTGGAATCTCCGTGATTTATCCCATCAGGAATTCAACTACTCTTTACCTAAACCGTGTGTGTATATTGAAAACTAGTTTAACCCATTGAAGTGGTATTTTGAGTGTAGTTCATAATGGATTTTAGCACCTCAGTAGCAGTACTTTCTATATAAGCACTTGCTAAGCATGAGACGTTAAACAAAACTTCCTTTTTCACCTAAAAAACCTCACATTGTTGAGAAAAATCATTAAAAGATTACTGGGTCAATGGAATAAAAGATATAGGCTAGGTTTTAATATCCTAAAAGAAGTTTAATACATTATCAAAACTCAATCCTTACATCTCAAAGGGTCGAGTGAGGCAAGTCTTGACTTTTGCAAAAATATTAGGTAGGAACACAGAGAAGTAAGGTACAGAGGAAGCGTCCAATGGTACAGTTAAGTGGTGTCTAGCAATAGTCGCTGGTGTCTAGAGCAAAGTCCAACATCGCCCCCATCGGCCTCATGGAGGACAACGCTCTTGTTGGAGAAAGACCCTGTGCCTTGACAAATGACAAATTTAGACACAGTGCCCGCCGCTCAAGCTCTTTCTTGCTTGTCACAAGTATATTTCTGGCACAACATAGATAAATTATAATAAATTATTGCTAAAGCGGACGATCGTTTCATAAGCAAGTTTCCTCTGTACCTTCCTTCTCTGTGGTAGAAACAACTTTGAATTGCACCCTAAGTTAGTCAACCAACGGCAGATACTGATATACTTGTAGACTTTGCTTAAATTAGACCCAAACTCATTCCAACTGTGGTTCCGTACATTTGTAGCGGCTTAACTAGACCAGTTTTCTAAATGAGGCACAGTTTGAAACAGAGGGTACACTTAAACATCCATTTACATGCCCTTTACCAGTGATTGGAACCAGAGCAGCCCGAGGAACACCTAACTAGTATGATAACACTGCAATCGCACAATCCAACTTCTCAACTCCTTTTATAAACAAGAGTAAGTTTATATTTACTCATCTATCATAAGTTTTTCTTCTAAAACATGTACTGATTTAGTGAGTTGGTGATTAAAGATTCAATCAGATTTGTGCAATCACAAACATGTTATGGCTTAAGAATGTTTATTGCCATACGATTGTTAGGCCTAGGCCATGTTTTGTTGCCCTAGACAATTAAAGTATATCTTAAATTGAGAGGTTTTGATTTTTTTGTTACTATAAGGATTTACCTTACATTGTATTGGCTTAGTATAGGTTTTATGGTTTGTAGTTTTTAAAAACTGAAAACAAACTTTACAAAAAATATTACTTTAAAAATGTAAACAAATTTAAATATAAAAACCAAATAATATGATTGTAATCAAATTTAAATATTTTAACATAGGCTAATTTAAACTTTGATTCAACAGCTAGGCCGCGTTATAATATTTACTTCATCTTAATCCAATACTGTAGCTTATCATGCTAGTATTAATATGGCTCCAAAAATTAAATATGCTGATGAAACTTAGCATACTTGTTAGCAAAACATCATAACCCACATAGCACAAGTACATCAATTTGACGTAAAATTGATGTCAAAGACGTCAACGTCAATGATATTTTGTACGTCATTTTGACGTCAATCAAGATCAATATGACGTCAAAATGACGTCAATATGAAGTAAAAAAGAAAATAAAATTTATGTAAAAATTATGTAAAAAAATTGACGTCATTTGACGTCTTTTTGTTGTAAATTTGACGTAATATTGCTCAGTTTTTTAGGCAAAATGATGTCAAATTCACACCAAATTGACATCATTATGTTGAGCAAAAAAATGTAAAATTGACATAAAAATAATGTAAAATATTTCCCCTATTTTTTTATAAAATTTTCGGTAATTCTTCATAGAACTGTAATTGTATTCATATTAATTTTCAATGTTACTAGTGCCAAAAATTTTTAAGTTCTGCAAAATCTTGATGACATAATTGGCAAATCTTTTGCAAAAATCTGTTAGAACCATGCTGAGGAAAACTTGTAAATAAATACCTAACCTAGACAAAGGTAATAAGTTTTATAACAAATTGTAAAACAAATGGATGACCTAGGCATCAGCTGATGAATTTTCTGCATAACAGATAAAAAAACTAGGCCTACTAAAAAAATACTGCAATTTATATTTGTTAGGCTTCAATTTTTTTTCAATAGCAGTGTTTGACATTGGTATAAACTAAACTGTGGAAAATATATTTTTATGCTCTTACTTTCTGATCTAATTCAAATTATGGTGTTTATATTCTTAGGTTATGTAAATAAAAGTATCTTACAAAACGGAAATGATCGGCTTTATAAATTTCATACAGAATCTTTTATGTACTTTTTACATTTTACTGTACAAAAATATTTTCAATTTATGATATTTTAAAAAATAGAATAGGAATTAATTATGCTGGAAAATAAAACCTGGAGTCCAAATAAAAATATTTATTCATACAATAAAACTAGGTACATCATTAACATCCACACTACTTATATAACTCATATTCGCTCTCCAATTCTTCTCTATTGCACCCTCCTGTAACAAGCAATAAATAAAAATGGTTGATTATGAAAATACAAAATAGAT